TATGATCGACTCCATATTGAATTGGAAAAGGAAGATTATTACTCTTGATAAATGCCTAAACAGTTTCAAATATGATAAGCCATTACTGACTAATGAGACTGAAGTGAAAAATGAAGTCAATAGACACTTTTAACATATCGTAGGAATGACACACTGTGACAAAAGAATTCTGGAGGAATGGATTTTCACATATCAACCAATTGCTAGTATTAATCCATCAATATATGACCAGCTTACCTCACTCCCATCAGCTGACAAATGGTATAGGATTTTAGACTGTCTGCCCAATGACAAAGCTACAGGCCCCTCTTCCATATCTAATGAAATGCTCAAAAATTTGGGTCTACATAGTAGGAAATACCTTTGGTTAATTATTTGTGGTTGCCTCCAAATTTCTTCAGTTCTCACGAGATGGAACTTTGCCTATATCTATCCGATTCCTAAACCAAAACCTTGGGAATTTGACCTTAATAACACATGACCGATCATACTCCTAGAATGCTTAAGAAAAGCTTTGTAAAACTACTTAATACCAGATTGGCATCAATTTTTATACAACACAACATCTTGAAAGGATCAAACTTTGCTGGATTGCTCTTTAAATCCACTTTTGATCCTATTCATATCATAGACAATATAAAACACGACACTATCACAAATAAATCTGAGCTCTGGGTCCTCCTACAAGATATGTCTAAAGCATACGACTGTGTCAATGTGTTTACATTGGTCAGAGCTATGGAAAGGTTACGAATATTCTTCAGCCTCATCAACATCATTATGAAACTATTTATTCCTAGACTCAACAGAATTTTCACTGCTCATGGCAATACTGATCCCTATATTATTCTTTCTGGCATCGATCAAGGAGAAGTCATTTCACCTCTTCTGTGATGTATTTACTACGACCCATTACTCTGTAGAATCCAGAAGTCACCTCACGGATATAAAATGAGTTGCAATTGGCAACCTGACGTTTGTTTACCCGCTACGCAATGCCTTTCTGCAACAATTCTAGCGTTAGCATTCATAGATGATACTCTATAGATTGCCAAATCTGCTGACGATCTGTCATCAATTATCAGAATTGCTAACAGTTTCTATTCCTTCAACGACAACCAGGTTAATTGGTCCAAGTCAGAACTCTTAGTAAATAAGACTCAGTCAGAGCCTTTCGCTATTGTCAATCCCAATGTTATCCATCACATCACTGCACATAAATCCAGTGAAAGTGTCAGGTACCTTGAAGTCTGGATCTCACTGGCAGACAACAGAACATTCATTACCAACCAAATCCATGAAAAAATCAAATCTGCAATCACCATAATGCGAATCAAAAGATTAACGGACGCTCAACTCACGTACATATTTAATACAGTTATTATCCCACGCATCGAATACAAGTCACAACTTACACTCCCTTCAGAAAAACATTGTGATAGAATTATGGCATCATATGTAGCTTTCCTCCATTCCAAATTGCACTTTTCGCAAAAAACGCTATCTTCGCTTTTCTTATCACACTATTTTTACAACATTACCCTCTCTACCAAAGACTTATACAGAATCTCAGCAGTGCTTTGCTGCTGATGGCTAATGAACTCAACTTGTTAGGCCTCACATTCAAAATTCGTGTCAGACTATTGCAAACCAGGGAATGGTTACACATCAATCCTCTAGTACGTTGACCATACAATATCCAGAGGTCCAAAGATGACTGGCTTTCAGCCCTACTCAGTACTCTCAACAAACTGAACATCAGTCTAAACATTTCGTTAAGCTCAACCAATCTGGTTTTCAGAGGCACCACCCCAATTTCAGACCTCATAACGCCTATCTATAAGAATCACGTCTTGGATCTCAGAAAATACGCAGTTCTCTATGCTGAACAACTAGTCAATTGTGTTGGTAACTACATGTTCTTATACAAAGACCTTATCCACATTACGCACCAACAAACGAGGTTTGTCAGAACTCCCAAATGGTTTACCATCATGGAACAGTACTTACAATCATCACCAGACAGATTCATCAGCAGATCTTTCCCACACAATTTAATGTACAGTTACATACTGAAGCAACAACATCTTACCCCTGGTTATAGGTCATATGCAGTAGGCTGGATATTCAATCTCAACAATTTTATCATTGGACGCATTACCTATGCTGACCAAGATTCTTTGTATCTCAGACATTACAATTTTGAAAGAACAACAGATCATAGTACTAAATTGATCCCCTGTCTCCGATGTTTCCTGCACAATCATAATGTATCTCTAACAAATAGTTCATACTGCTGTGTCAGTATTCCTCGTGCTTACTATGCAGCCTTTCATAATATTTATTATGACAGTTCTAGTTCTACAGCGCTATCCGTTGGTGCTCTCAATGAATTGACTTTAACTTGTGCAATCGCGTCCCACCAGCCCCAAATTTTAAATGTATCGCCCTCTATTCATCCTCCTACACATAATTCTTGTATAGATAGATTTATCCCTTCTCCCTTCAAAGAAGAACTACTAACACTTTCCTCTACTTCTGTTTCTGCTACTGAGTTAGAATTTTATACCGACGGGTCTCTTAAAGTCGTCGGTCTTCCTTCAATCAAAATGGGGTTTGCTTGGTTAAAATCTCACCAAAATTCGCCTATGGCTTCCTTTAGCACTGCTTTGGCCTCCAGTTTTCCATCATCATCAATACCTGAATTTGCAGCTCTGTTCACAGCACTCCTGACTGCTCCTACAAATTGTAAAGTCAAAGTCTATACTGACTCAGCTATTATCATATCACAATTTAACAAATTCAGTTTCCTCAAGAAACAGTCTCCTACTTTCAGACTTTTTCTGAAAATCAACAACTTTGTGCTTTGGTCTTGTCTTTTTGAAGTGATCTTTGAGTACAACCTGGATGTCTATTTAATAAAAGTCAAAGTGCACTCAAAAAATCTCTTGAACAACAAGGTAGATGCTATGGTAAAGGATGCTCTTACCCTCCCCATCTTGCAACTTAACTTGACGGCTGCTTCACAGAGCTTTGCTAATTACAATAACTAACCCATTCTTATCCTGATAAGACAAATTGTAAAGGAGATCTTCCAGTACAAGCACCTTCAACAGATATTATCCTTGCATGTAGTCAACAAATATCACCCATTCTTCAAAATCAATTAGTATGTCACCTCCTTCTGTCTTAATGACAATGTAGCTACCAATAATACATCATATGTAGCTTCCACCACAAGTATGAAAAAGTTCCAACGCTTGCTGGAAATGCTTCCTACTGTTGAAATTCTGAAAATTAGACATCCATCTCTTTTCCCGATCTCAGCCCTGTGTCCTAGATGTGAGGTTACAGATGAAAACTTCTTACATATATGGACTTGTCCGATAGTCAACTATCAAATGAAACTTCTCATCCAACAAGTTAAAGACTACCTTAGAGACATTACCAATGCACATATGCACGATATTGACAATCTTAATTGGTAGAACCTCTTAACATCCTTTTCCTTTGTGGTTCTCATTAAAGGCATTGTTCCCACTACCCTCTTTGAATTCATTCATAACAACCTTACATACATGCCTACAGCTTTAGCTGCATGTTCATCCCTTATACACTTCATTTATGAAGAATCACAACGGTTTTGGATTGAAAGGTGTACCTGTCAATCCGCCATTGAGAAAGCTGCAAACATTAATCTTAAAGATAAAAAAGACAACTTCACCTCTTCAGGTTTTAATCTTCCCATTGGTATTCCTACCAACAATGATAATGTTGATCCAATAAATACCATAATGAAACTTGGATCTTACTGGACGAATTTTTGGTGCAGTAGTGACCAAGCCCTCTCCTGTTTTATTTCTGTTTAATTACTCAGAAGTGATAGTTTTAGCTTAGGTTAGAATTAATCCAGGGGAGTGCAGGGTCGGTCTTCTATAGTCTAGTTTTTCTTTTCTGTACGAGATTTTCACTTTTTCTTCTTGATTTGTATTTTATTTTTTTTATATATTTTACTTTTTATCATAATAAAGATTATGTGGAACTACTGCACTTTAAAAAATAAAAAAAAAAATATTTAATATAAATAATAATATAATAAACAATTATTAATTTATTTAATCAACTTTGTAATTTCTAATTTAATGATAATAAATTATTCAAGAAGAATGATTGGTTGATCTGAATTTTTATCAGGTCGGGTCAGGTCGGTTCAACCTGTTGACCTGACCTGACATCAACCTGAAAATCTATTGATCTGACCTGAATTTTCAGGTCAGTTCAGATTAGGTAAACAGGTCGACCTGACCTGATTCAGAGTTCTAACTTAAAACACTTTTTTTTTTGTAATTTTTTCTAAAAAATATTATATAAAATGAAAAAAAAATTTGGAGATAATTGGTTAAAGGAACATTTGATAAATTTACTGGAGGAAAAAATGAAAATGATGAAGTCCAATAAAAATTAAAATCAGTAGTTTAAATTTCTCTTCTTTTTTAAAACTCATTTGTAATATTATAATTTTATAATTATAAAATTATAAACAAAACAAATGCCTTAAAGAAATAATTTATAAATTGGTATTTTACGCAATATCCATTTTCCTTAATATCTATTTTCCCTTATTATTTTCTTTTTAACTAAGAAATTATAAATTAGTTTAACCTTTATGATTTAAACTATTTTGGGTTTTTTGATTTACTTAAATAAGATCAATTCTCTTGTACTTTTTTGTATAATTTATATTTAATTGTTAAAGAAAGTTTTAATTTAGCAAATATAATAAAAATTGCTTATATTTATATTTATATTTATACACTACTTGAACAAAAGTTTCGAGAAACATATTTTGGCCTAATTTTCAAAAATGTATATAATAATTTGGGCTGAAATTTTAACACGTGATAGCTTATGATCTACATAAACAATGATATAATTATTATTTTATTTATAAACAAAATCAAATGTGATCGGCAAAATAGGATTTTGTACTACCTCGCATTATGCCACATTTAACAGAAGCTGAGTGCAACCAAATTATTAGTCTATTTAAAGGTGGCACTATAAGAAACCACATTATTGAAACACTTGACTTTTCAAAAACAACAGTTTACCGAACTATTCAAACCTTTTGTGAAGGAAAAGGTCTTAAAACTCAGCTGTGATGTGGTCGTCCTAAACTTTTAAATTGTGAACATCAAAAAACACTAAAAAAAATTGTTCAAGTTAATAACCACCAATCAGCTGAACAAATAAAAAATAAATTTCAAGAGAAAGCTGGAATTCAAGTTTCTACCAAGACTATAAGAAGAAATTTGCATGAACTTAATATTTTTTCACGTATTCCAGCATCCAAACCTCTTCTTAATGATAAACAAAGAGAAAATCGTTTAAACTGGTGTATTGAAAGAAAAGACTGGTCCATTAGAAAATGGAAGTTAGTAATTTGGAGTGATGAAAGCCGTTTTACAATATTCAAAAATGATGGACCAGGTCATATTTGGAGAACTTCCGGAATAAGATTTAATATTAAAAACATAGTTCTTTCAGTAAAACATGGTGGTAGAGGTGTGATGATGTGGGGTTGTTTTTCAGAAAAAGGTTTGGGACCACTGGTAAAAGTTAATGGAAAAATGAACCATCGTGACTATATTCAAATACTTGAGTCACATTTACTTCCATTAATTAATAATAGTTTTAATGGATAAGGTTATTTATTTCAAGATGACAATGCCCCTGTCCATATCGCTAAAAATGTTAAAAAGTGGATGGAAACGAAAAAATCAAAATTTTGGCAAATTAGCCAAGTCAATCCCCGAATTTAAATCCCATAGAACATTTGTGATCAGAGTTGGAAAGGCGCATTAGAAAACGTTCTAAACCTGCAAAAAATGAGAAGGAATTGGAGCGTGCTTTACAAGAAGAATGGAATCGAATTTCTAACAATACATTAATAAATTTAATTAAAAGTATGTCACACAGGGTTGAGGCATGTATTAAGAATAATGACTGGCCAACTAAATATTAGTTTTATATATAGTTTAACTAATAGTAGTTAAAATTTTGGCCCTATTTATTATGTACGTTTTTGAATAATTAATAAAATATGAATTCCTAAAACTTTTGTCCAAGTAGTGTATATTATATATAAAATAATAAAATTTGTAATTAAATAAATAATTAATTATAATAAATATATCCTATATATATTGTTTTTTTTTTATACTAAATCAAGATAAAAATGTTTTATAAAATTAATAAATTAGTAACTTTATATCACAGCTTGTAATTATCTATCTATTTTTAACCTGATTTATGATATTTCTACTACAATTTATCTTTAAGTTATTCAATATCTTCTTCTTTATACTGTATTCTTCTGAAAATAGACACTTCCTGAAAATAAGCACTATCATTTTTTTTTTAGTATCTGAAAATAAGCATTATCAAATTTTTTAAGTACCTAAATACTAAAATGACCAATTTATTTAAAATTCAAATGCTTTTTATTTTTTATTTAAAGAATTTATTGTCATTAATATTTCTTGCATCATTTTAACGATTGTCATCACCATCACTACTATTATTATCACTGCTACAATTATCGTCATTGCTATCATTATTATTATCGCTAACATTACCATCAATGCTATTACCTTCATTAATATCACTGCTATTGACATCTATAATATCCAAAATTTTATTTTCAACCTCATTTGCACTTTCATCATCAATCTCATCTGCATTTTCATCTAATTCATCTAAACAATTTGATATTCCACATGTTTTAAATGATTTAATAATAATTTCGTTCAAAATTGCTTTCCAAGAATGCTTGACCTACTTGCAAACATCATTCAATCTTGTCTGACAGAGGTTTCATGCAGCAGTTATTTCAGCATCACATCCAACTATCCAATTATGCTATTTTTTTCATAAATTTTCTTTAAATGGTTTATTAATTACAATATCAAGTGGTTGGCAAATACTAGTCAATCCACCTAAAATTACAGCTAAATTATATTCACTTTCGTAAAACTTTATTTTAATGGATTCTTCTAAATGACCCCTAAATAAATCATATACTAACATTGCTAGAGTATTATTAGTTTTTGAATTATTAAGATAGTTTACATACCTTTTCATCAAATCAGTATTCATCCATCCATTTTCTTGAAACCAAACTACTATTTCAGGCAGAACTTGTTCTCCTCGTGGCATCCGTTTTCCTTTAAAAATACAAATAGGTGGTAATCTAGTACTGTCTATAATAAAGAAAAAATAACAATAAGAATAATAAAATTTCTACTTTCCTTTTCAATAAATTCAAAAAATCTACCTGCAGCACAAGTTAAAACCACAGTAAACTGATTTTTTTCATTACCAGTTGCTCAAATATGCACAGCTTTTTCATCTTTTAGATTAATTGTGATATTGCCAGCTATATCAAACCAAACTGGGGTCTCATCCATATTAAAAATTTCATCCAATTTGAAAGAATTTTCAGTTCTAAGATGAATGACAAA